CAAAAGAAGATTAATCAACAACTATTTTGATAAGCGATTGTCTCCTTCCTTTTTTTAAGCAAAAGTGTTATAGATTTGGTGGTTTCATCCTTTTAATATAAGGAATTGCTGATATTTTTGTCATTTATGATATAATGAGTAAATAAAGAGTATTTGGGTTTTGGACTGCTGGTTGGACAAAAGAAGCAATCTGAAGACGCCACTTTGGGCTCTGTAAAATTGTGATGAGCATTTTTCACAATTTTTTGACATTTTATAGACTAAACGATTAGTCGTGAAAATAAGCAGCAGATTAGTCAATAATGAAAATAGTCGTTGGCTGCAGCCCTTATATAAAATTCAACATACTTTTGCGCACACATGTAGAGATACAGGCGCACTTGTCATCTACACATGCCCTAGCACTTTGCCCTCGTTGCTGCGACTACTAGGTCAATGTAGGGCCCTTCAATGGTGCAACAATTATTATCCTAAACTCTGAATTCAAAACATGTTGTCTCCACTTGTATTTTTCTTCATCTGTACTAATTTCTTTGCACAAACATAAAAGGAAACACTTTCTGTGTTTCTTTGACTTTTGCCAGGTCTTCACAGATCTACAGAATGATGGGTGTGTGTGTGGAGAGAGAGACCGTGAGAGGGAGGGGAAAGCCGGGACAGCGTGATGAAGTCTAACAATAGCTTAAGATTGATGGGAGGCTGTGGTTGCACACGCTCCAAACGGAACTGCATCAGTTTCAGTGGCGTTCAAGCACACATTCCTGGCATACTATCGGTTGCACTGAGAAACTCCAAAGTTAATGTGTGTTATGCTTGCTGGCTCAGGCCCAGGTTTCAGTGTGATTTCTTGCGCTTATCTACTGCTCTATAAATACTACTATACCTGGGTAGGAGAAAGTTTAAATCCAAGTTGTAAGATGGGAAAAAGGAAGGGTCAATGAAAGGATGTAATGAATAAGAGTGGGATAAAGCAAAGGCACATGGAAAACAACAAATCCCCTAAAAGCCTGTTATCAACAAATCCCTGAGAAGACCTGAATTTACAATAAATGTATCCTACTAACAAGCACTGTCTGCACTGTCGGAGCCTGAATGAACTTAGGCCATAGGACTCTGCTGACGTTTAAAAACAATTAAAACACATAAGACCCATTTAGGAGAATTCTCCCTTCATTACAATTAACACTGTCATGTATTTTATTCCTTTCAGATTGTCAAATTGCCACAGTGCTGTAATATGGTACAGCTCTGATCATTCACAGTGACATAAAGACATTCTCCATAAAATGCAAAAGCAGCTGCAGAGTCAGAAAACTATATGACCTGTACTCATTTGAAGGAATCAATGTGTAGTCTTCAGATGACAATGGAGCTCTAGGGCACAAAGGCATACGCTCTCAAGTAGGGCTGGGCGATATAGCCACAAATGTTTTTATGATATAGATTGTTATCACGATAAATGTCAAATCATCATTTCTTTCAAGTTTAAAGGCTGATTTTAGTTCCTGAGTGAAAGTTGAAGAAACCAGATGGTTAATTGTGGTTTTAAACTATTCTTTATGGTCAGAACATGACAGTGGATATCTTCACAAATCTGAGGCAGAACATTCAAAACAATTATGATAAAATCTTTTTCAATAAATAAGGATGAGTAAAATTAGGTTAAATCTTTTTTCAGTCCCTTTTCCTCAACATAATTAATATCTTAATGGAAAAAACAAGTTTGTTCCTGATTCAAATTAATTAAACATTTATTGAACATTTGTTATATTGTTATTAAGGAAAATAATATTGCAATAATTATTAATTATGATTATTGTTTTTTTCCCCCCTGCTCTACTCTCAGGCTGCAGCTACACAGACGATACTTGCTAGCAGGATACATTTCTTGTTGGTTTTGATGTTTTTGTAAATAAGTTTGTTGATTAATATTAAAAAAGAAAAAAAAGTACCTCCAGCATTATCCTTAAAGTTTGAAAGTTGTACAGGCCAAAAAGTAGTCATGAAAAATAATACAGAGGCTGAAAGGAAACAAGGGAGGGAAAGTAAGTAAGGAGAAAAATAACGAAGCAAGAAGGGAAACCCCCTCAGTTTGTGGCAATAAAAGAGTACCGCTGCTCTCTGGGAGATTAAATATGAACCGAACAAAACAAAACGAGGGCTTTGAGACCCTCCTCGTCCTAGCCATTCTTCTGGCCACAGTAGCCTAGCAACGGCTGCTTGACCAGTCCATTGTGCAAACGTATGTTAAGCTTTTATCCCTCATTAGCAACATTCCTCCCTGCAGGCTGGGATTTTACAGATTAGGTTGAAAAACACAAAAGAGATTGGACAAATCTTGCTGACTTCCAACATATTACTTTACAGGCTAATCATTGATCAAATAGCTGTATGTTTGTCTGCGTGGAGCATGTGTACACTGCAAGTTGATAAATGACAGGCTGAGTGAAGATGGAGAAGTTTGGTTCTGCGTAATGTACCTGTCTATGTCCTGGTTAACCCTGAGGGAATATATTCCAGAAATAGAGATGAGGTCTAGCCACACCAACAGACACTTTGCTCATTAAATATTTTTTAAAAAGTGACAGATTGCTGATTAACAACCACTCATTGCAATGTATCTATTTTCTTATTACCCCCCGTTGTCGATAATTCTCACTGCTGACCGACGCACACACAATGCCAAGACAAACAGACAACAGGCCCACGCTAGCAGATGCAACAACTTCTCTAAGCTGCATTATTCTAGATTTTTACTGGGAAAAACAACCCAACACACCACAGGGTGCCATTTGTGTGTTTGTGTATAGGAGAGAGTGTGAACTCAATGCCCTGGTTCAAAGCAAACACATACAGCTTCTTTCATTATCTCTTTATTTATTTATATTGACCACAGATGTTCAGACTTCTGACCCTGGTACTGTCAACTACCTGGAACTAGTAACTGCACCATTGCAAACACCGACTGTTAGAAACGAACGTCTCTCTTGGTCTCGTTTAAGTGGCACAGCTCAGCAGTGGGCTCTAATTCAGAGTGAATCCAGAAAAACAGATATTTATTCCACTAGCCTACAAGCTTCAGGTTGAGCTCCCAGGTTTCATTAGAGCCCAGAACTGCAACAAGCGCATTGTCATTGGCCTCTTGCAAGTTTTACAGTGTAGTGGCAGGACAAACACACTGACTTGTGTTCGCAGCACTGTGCCTGTTCGGGGGAGTTTGTTTGTGTATGTTCACCAAACATCCGATTAGCCGAAACTGTTAAATCCTTTCTCTCCATCTGCCCTATAATTAGCACAAATCTTCCACCTTAAATAAGACTACTTATAGGGTTGGGCTCTCCTACACTGTTCATCATGTGGCCCCAGGAGCTTCACATGCACATAAAAACCTCATAGTTTGAAAGTTTTGTTGACTTATTGTCCACATTCAAAATTGTGTGAGAATTTGCATTTTAGAGTGCGAAACAGTATTATTTGTATGCTGGAAAAACTACTTAACATTTGCAAACCTTGTTTTACTCTAATGGATATACGTGTTACAAATATATTCTAAATTGGGCTGTAAAATTAGGGTTGATGAGGAGTTAAATTTTTGTCATGCTTGCACTATTATACTATTATACAACCACATACTATATACAGATCATGTTTGCAGAATATAAATGTTATGATCACTGGGCATGTTTGTGTGTTTGACCTGCATGCATAGATTTTTCTTGGTCAATCTATACAGTACCCTTCATATCTGTGAAACGCTTGAGAGGCAATCTTTATATGGTGATCATGGAGAGTCTGGTCTGTGTACATATCGCATGTTTTGTCTCTATATTCACACACTGACTCTCCCAGCTGGAGATAAACAGACATCAGTATGCCAGAGTTGCAACCCATATGGCCCCAGGATAAGACTCTCTGGCCACAAAGGGAGAAAGAGTGTTTGGAGTTATATTACACACATAAACACACCTGAGTTGAAATGGGTAGCCTGTGTCAGTGGGTCTTTTTCTCATCGAGTCCTGTCCATTCATTATTCAGTTCTGGGAAACTAAAGTTTGCTGGCCTGTTGTCAATTACCAGTCCATGGAGGAACTAGCACACTTGTTCGTCTGCTGTACTGAACCATATTTCAACTACATGACCCCGCTAAGTTACCAAGAAACTTAAAAGCGAGTAAATACTCAAAAGTCTTAATCTAATTTATTATTCAGCACATGAATGCCTGCACCAACTGTGAATCCAGCATTCCAGAAAGCCCCTAAGGGAATGGTTTTCTCTATTAATATAGCTAGAGAGGTTCTTGGGCTGACTTCTTTTTACCCTGTGACCTCTGGTATTAGCTCTGGTTGGTCGAGCACATGGCCTGACAGTGTGGACCAAGTGTGTCTAGTTATGTGTTTGGTAAATCACTGACTTTATTTGAACAACAATTCAGCCTAGGGCTGGAGAGGGGGTTGGGTAGGGGGGTTGGCAGCCCAGCTGAGCAAACTTACTTTATTTCACATCCTCTCAATGGCACCCCCCCCACCACCACCTCATACACCCACAGACCTTTTACAAGTCTTTAAATCCATCCTGAGTAAAGGGCAGAGCTGTACCAGTGATGCTGTGATATATATTATGTGGATTATGAATTTTCAGTGACCTCAGTTTAGGCTGAAATGACTAAACTATGTTTTCCTAATAACATAAGCAAGAGATAAACATTTCCCAATGCCCATTGATATGATATCAATTAATCACTTTATGCGTGACAGGTTGAACATGTGCTGTTGTCAGCTTAGAGGTTGATGAGGTAGTTTAACACTAAGGCAGTTACTCAAGCAGATCTGAACTGTGACCAAAACATAAGCTATAAATAACTAAAGGAGGATGGGCTACATGTGCAACAGGTGGATGGCTCTCCCATGGTCCCTGTGAGGAGGACTTTCTCCTAAAGTCGGGCAGTTTGTCTTAACTTCTCTGTCTCAAGCACACACACACACACTTCAATCTTTGCTTACTGTTGCTAGACTTCAGGTCACGATGGATAATCGGTACCACGGCCTCCTCGTGTAGGTAGAGCATCCCGCGTGCAATCTGCACGGCCCAGTTGACCAGGATGTGTGGAGGGATGCGCCTTCCGGTCAGCACCCGGTTCAGTGTCCCGCCTCGGGCGTACTCCATGACTAAGCACAGGTTGGGCTCCTCCAAACACACACCTTCCAGTTTAATAATGTTAGGGTGCTGCAGCATGGAGAAAAGTTTCGCTTCTTGTTTAACACCGTCAGCGGTAGCTGTTATGTCCTCGTCTGGGTCTTGCCGAGCCGCCTTCACAGCGACCTCCTGATCTTTCCATGTGCCCCGGTAAACTTTGCCAAATCCACCCACGCCTATGATCTCCTCTAGAACCAGTTCACTGAAGGGAATCGGGACGGGCGAGTTCGGGACTCCCTCTGGCACCCCCACCGACCCGCTAGTAGCGGGGAGACGGTAAATAGCGGGCTGGTAGGTGACATAGTTGGAGGGGAAAATCCCGACTCGATGGTTGATTTTACCCGTCCACCATCCCTCGTCCCCGGAGATCGCTGCGTCCTTGGACAAGACCTCCACCACGTCCCCTCGTCTGAGGCTGAGCTCGTCCTCACCGCTTGCCTCATAGTCATACGCGGCTGTCCACAGGGACCGAGTCGGGCACAGCGGGGCAGAGTGAGCCCACGCCCGAACTGTGGGGGGATCTGTCCAGACATGCTCTCCGGTCCCACCGCCGCCCGGCCGCCCTTCACCGTTTGGGAAAGCGGCCTGCGAGACATCCATTTCTCGGTGGCCGTAGCGGCACCATAGGGTGCAGAGCTTCCAGAACAAAATTAAAACTTTAAAACCGTAAAAGGCAACTTTTTGAAATGCTCATGCTGTCACATCTACGGGACTAGCTAATGAGAACAGAGGAGTACTCCCCGCACAGCCCGCAGCAGGGTCAACCGTGTCCAAAGTCCTGCGGGAGAGAGAGCGTCCACAACGTTACTACCACGTCGCCACTCCGGTAGAAGTGTATGAAGATCAACAACTAGCCTAGCCGAAATACTTTTTAAACTAATGTCAACACTATATGGGCTGACGGTTATAAAGTTGTAGATGCACAAAAAACGTTATAAATCTCACATTATCTCCGCAACGAGAGAAACATTAACGCCAGTCCACAACTTTAGCACCTGCTTCTGCGTAATGCTAACGTGCACAAGCTAAAGTTAGCTCTCTACCGATGGAGCTAAGTTACCAAGTTTTCGCAGGTGCCGCAAGAGGTGCACCTGCACCGCCCGCTCCGACCAAATACAGCGTGGGTCCGAGGGACAGGTGTGTCTTTGAGAGTCGCCAGTAAATCTCATCGAGTCTCCGAACCCAGGAAACAAAAGTTCGCTTGCTAGATTGTGGACTTTTAACAGGAATTTCAACTGCATTGGCTAGCGGGTTAGCTTAGCATAGGTCAGCCCGTTGACTAGTACGGCAGTTGGAAAAGTTGCTCCTCTCTCAGCTTGAAGATGGTTATTCCCAAGTTTGTTTATCCTCCGGTTGTGTGACGCAAAAAACGACGGCTCAACACTGAGAACGCGCAGCAAACATCCTGGATTTCAGCGCAACAATGCGAGAATAAAAACACGATGAAGAGAAAGCCGTCAACTTTAATCAAAACAACCCCCCCTGTCGCCGTTGTCACCAGACCAAGTCGGACCCAGCAGTGGCTGCACGAAGGACCTGGGGGACGCTGCTGCTGCTCTCGCTGCTGGCTGTGCTGCCTCCTGATTGGTACATTATATGACATGTGACCGCCGCAGCAGTGGGGGCGGGGTGGGGGGGGGAGGAGGAGCCACTATAGGAATGTGTGAGGAGAGCGCGCCTTCAGGGAAATTATGGGAATAGTGGCCCATGTGGATCCCTCCAAACACCGGCCATGAGCGAAAGAAAGTATTTTTCTTGTAGTGTTTAATACTTAGTGTGCAATATTCTCTGTTTTAATACTCTGGTCCTAATACTGCAGTTTTTAAGGATATATTTAGACTTTCTATTATTATTTTATATTCCTTTATGACTTTATGTGCAATGTGTGCAACTGTGACACAAACATTTCTCCTCGGGGATCAAGTAGGTTGATTCTGATTCTGAAAATATAACTAGGCTACTCTTACTCCTATTAATTAGCTATACTAGGAATTTACATAGGATATAATAATTTACGTAGGCTATAGGCCTAATTATATTGCTTTGGCTCACAATACTAATCATCATGCAATAATAACAATAACACAATAATATATAACATTATTATAACATCTGTCAAATATAACTGATATATAGGCTAAATGCGTAGGCCTGCTACATATGCACGTGTGCTACAGGCTACATATATTACCTAGGCATATACACACACACACATACATGCTGTATCTAGGCTACACGTGCATACATAGTCTTGCATTTAGTCAGCACATAGGCTACTTGCGCACAATTTGGCTTGATTGTCCGATTTGTATGATTTTGCCTGCAAACCGCTCGGGTATACGTTTGTACGCAGATAAACAGTGAAGGTGGGAATAATAGGAAAGGATTGTGAGGGAGGGGAAGCAGAGGGGAGGAGTGGGAAGGGAGGGGGGGGGGGGGGGGGGGGGGGACGGCGGTCGGAGCTGCGCATCTGTACAGGCAGCTAGAGAGGAGAGGGAGAAGGACAGAGACGAACAGGACAAGATGAGGACCGCGGCAGCAGCAATGGACGAATCGACATTGGGATGGGAAAAGGCAGACGAGAGGACAACAGCGAGGGAGACCGATGAGGCATGAAAGAGGAGGCTCAGGAGACGTGCTGTATCGCCCCAACATGGAGGCGGAGCGACAGTAGCATGCATTAGAGGAGATCATTGCATTGTAGTCTAGCAGCAGCGGCATCATCCGTCCGTCCAACCTGAGCGGAGAGGAGGAGAGAGGAGGAGAGATGGGCTCCCAGGTCGTGCAGACCCTGCGTCAGGGAGTCTGGGCTTCTCTGACCGGGGGCTGGTACCACGACCCGGACCAGAACAAATTCAACAACTCCTGCCACCTCTATCTATGGATATTCCTCCTGATGTTGCCCCTGTCTCTCCATCTGGTGAGTTTTTTTTTATTAGGGAACATAACGTTCAAGGCCGCGAAGGGGGTGTGAGTTGCTGACGGTACCTTCACGCTTGCTTTTTCATGCGCCGTATTTATCCTTTCTTGGATAAACGCGCAGCGGCTCTGCAAGAATTGGACATCCTTCGTTTTCTGGTTGCTACCGAGGGAAATTCACGGCTAGAGAAAACAGCACTGTCGCAGTATTTTTTTTTTTTTTGCTGGCATGCAGTGACGGAACGCATGGCTGCTCCTGGGATGTGGCAGAGCCAGGAGGCGTGAAACTGTGGTTCACTCACATTTTGTCATCATGTCATGGCCTTTGAAATAGATGCAACACAGGCTTGCTTTACTCCCACTGAAACTATCCTGAGTGGGGAACTTCCATCTGAGATTAGTTACAGCCTGGTTTACCATACCTGGTGGTACAGTAAATGTGTAGGGAGAAAAAAAAACTCTGTTACAGGCACAGCCATGTAGCAGGATGGTGGCATAGAGGGAAGAGTCGCTGCTATAGGTCAAACACCTTGACCCTTAGCTGTGGTGATGTATGGATGATAACAGGCAGTGAATTCACATGTCACATAGTGTTTGAAATGAATAGATGGTGGCAACAGCAGCCTTGTACAATACTTTAATAATGTGATCTGATCATAGCCTGGAGTGCAAGACAGCTTTTTTATGTTATTGTATGTGAAGAAATAACTTATTTAATGCTGTGTCTCAATTTTTATGGAACAGGGGTTTATCAAAGCACTCCAGTTTTATCCGGATTAAATAGATTGCAGATTATGATTATGTGATGTGATTGCTCCCCACATCTCTGCTCTTCAGTCCCGATACAATAAACCATGCAGGGCTAATTGTGTGTCTACTCTGTGTTCAGGTAAGGCCAAATTAGCAATCCATGAAGGAGCGTTAATAAGGCAAAGTGACAGATTCTGGTTAGTGACAGCTCAGATGTTTTAGAGTTTTGCCACTAAAGCTGTATTAAAATGTTGTTGCTTATAGTCTGTTTGAAAACACCAACTGCTTCAGCCTGCAAAAAAACCCCAGCACAAGCCTTCTGGGAGAGATGTTTCAAATTTCAAGTTTATTAGCATTTTATCTGAAGCTCACGCAGAACACACAGTGTAAGGTACACTATGGCAGAACGTTGAGGAACGAGCACAAATGACACTGGGGCTGTAAATTTGTACCTGGAGACAAAAAGTGTCCATATCCACAGCAAGACCTCTCACCAGACCAGTATGACTCTATCAGTAAGATGCAGATGTGTTGTCTTTAATCTTCCTGTTCTTTGCTATGGGCCATCCTTCCCCTCGGGATCAATAGACTTCATTGATCCACCACTTAATCAAATTAGATCTTGTGGTTCACTAAGCCTGTAATACATCCAGGGGAACAGCGTGGCTGTGTGACCAAATAAGTTTTACCTTTTGAAGAATTTCCCCTACTTACCAATAAGAAGAAAATAAGTAGTTTGTGTTTTTCTTGTTCTGGTGGAGTCAGGAGACTCTGTTAGATGTTACTTGAATATGAAGAAGCTCTTCTCCTCCCAACAGGCCCTGCCCCCAACCACTATGGCTTTGAGCATCTACTGCACCTCCATCACTATCTTCTTCATCCTCATCAAGCTGGCCAACTATCGGCTGCACCTGATGTTCAACGAGGGGGAGGCGGTGGTCCGCAGCAGCCTCTCCGACCTCAGCAAGGCTCCGGAGAAGAAAAGTATAGCCTCGGACTCCTGCCTGCCCGCCAGCATTAGGTAGCACGCACACACACACACACACACACACACTTTTAATCCTGAAACGGCAGTCAGTGGGATCAATATGAAGTAGCTTAAAAAGTCAGATGAATTTTTAATGATGAAAAATTCAAATACAGAAGTCGTCTCACCTTTATTGATGCGTTAGAGGCCATTCAGAGATATATACAGTATATATATACATTTAACAAACTGGCATTTTTGCTACTTGTGCTTCAATCTGCTTTCTTGTCACATTAGTCATTACATAATCTAGGCCAGATGGTTAAATGCCTAATGATATGACTTAATTATTAACATGATATTGTACATTTAGGCCTGAGACCTCCTTTTAGAATAACGCCACTAAGTATAACTGAGTATCTTACTGTGCTTACCATGCATACTCTTTTTACATTTTTTAGTCTCCTTTCTTTCTCTCTCTGCATGTGTCTTTTTTCCTCAGTTTTTCTTTGAGATCAGATTGGTTTTGTGATGAAGTTTCTCAGAGTGGAATACGGACTCTATCCACTTTATTTCAAAGACCCAGTATAGCTTTGGTGAATGAGCGAGCTGATGAGTGGAGGTCAGCGATCTTCAGTCGGCCACTTCGCTCTGACACACTTGATCCACACAGAGACTAATAAAAGAAAATCCGTCACGTTCTGTTCCCTGTGTGACTGTATTTCTTTCTTATAATCTTTGAAGTGCTTGTGGGGAGATGAAACAGCCGGTCCAGACACAATTATTTTTAGCACTTTCTCATCTCTATAAATCTGTTTATTTTAGTATTCAAAACATGAGAGGCTGGATCTGATGGTTTCTTCTGAGAGTGACATATTGATTTATGGACTAACATAGGCTCCCCCCATTTCTCTGCCTCTTTCTCCTCATCATTTAATTTCTCCCCTGTCTCTCGTCTTTGTCTAACAGGAAGAGCAGTACGGCTCCCGACAGCGTTGCCATGACCATGTTGGCTCGGAAGGGTCCCAGTCCGGTGATCCAGGTGACAGTGAAGCAGACTGAAACAGACCCGGGACTGATCGGGGTGGTGAGTGACAATTAAAAGATAGACATCTACTAGTATAAAAGTGCAGCACAGAAAACACTGTGTTGACCCACATTACTGTATGTCCTAATTTTAATCACAAGTTTCTGAATTCTCTTCCCTGTAGGACTGTTTGAAGTCAGACGAGGTGGTGGTGAAAACTGCAGAAGGTGATTTGGTCTTTCTCTGGATTTGACTGAGATACAGATGGGTAAAGGAAAAATCTGGATAAATACGTGAATAAACAAATGCAGAGTACAGTCGCCAGGGGCCAGTTTCACAAAGATAGTCAAGCTTACCACCCGTTGCATAAAGCTTGATATATTACAGTTATCTTACAGGACTAATTTGCCATGGTTCTAGGTAAATTAAGACTTTTTTCAAACTAAAAACATGGCTGACAAAGCAACTGCATTAAAGATGTCTATGAAGATTCTCAGTCATCCAGGTCATAGTTATCCAACGAGGGTTAAAATGAAGGGCAACTGGACTTGGTTATCCAACGAGGGTCTTCAACCAAGTCCAGTTGCCCTTCATTTTAACCCTCGTTGGACAACTGCATTAAACTGCTCAGCTCCCTTCACTCCAGCAGAAAGTGTTTGCCTTGTAGAAGAATTCAACAACTAGAAGGACATTTTACTGTGAATATTCAGCAAATAGCGTAACAATAATAAAAAAAAAACACTGTATAAAATTTCAACGCATTGCAGGTCTGTAGTAGAACTGAGATGCTGTGCCTTCTTTTAGTGCCAGAGCTCAGTACTTTTTCAAATTCATCAGTCAGGCTCAGAACAGTTTCCCTGTGCAAATGAATGAGATTGACGATGTCCACACTGCTGGATAT